GGGGGGAGTGCTGATTGAGCCCCCGTAGGGTAAGCTCGCACTTCAACCTCCAGCCTCTGATCAACTCTAGGGCAACCAAGTGTGAAGTGTGACGGACCTGTGTGCAACCATGGGGAGGTGGACCCTCCTGGTTACCTTCTATTTTCCACTCTTCCTCTGAAATCGTTGACATCTGACACACGGACAGAAACGCTCTGTTACACCAGCTCCATGAAGCCAACACACTGAGAGGTGAAAGCACACTGTGCAGTTTTCACTGCACCTCACATTCATCTGAGAAGTTTCATTTCTACTTTCAGCCTTGTTTTAACACTTATTGAAACGCAGTTTAAAGGCCCCGCCCTCTGAGAGCTGTCATGTAAACACAGAGTGATCTGTGTGTTCTGCTTCCAGCTGTGGGAAATCGACTCGGCAGCAGATCAGAATCACGAACAACAACATTTACACAGAGACTCTATAGTCAGTGTTTCCTTTGCACTGAGCCTTTCTATTCTCCATGAGGGCGGGTGTTGTTCACCAGGAGGACCCGAGGACCCCGTCTGTCACGGCACTGACCTGCTGCAGGTCATTTTGTAGCTCCGGCACTGCTCATCCTGTTCCTCCTTGCACTAAGGAGCAGGTACATACGACACACACTGTATACAGGCTTTTGCAGAGGTGCTTTATTCATCGTCTGCAGAAAAAAAAGCTTCCCTGAAACAAACTTCCTGATGGGAGGAGATGCTGCCCGAGGACAGAGCTGCTGTGCCAATGACACGCACTACCAGGAAACAGAACCCGTAACAGGCGATAATCTGCTCTCACATTTCTTTGTTCAAACCACAAGGTCAACAATAGTTTATAAATGTAAAATTCTTAACTATAAAACATTTCTTTTGTAACACCTTTCAGGGAAAAGCATTTAAATAATATTCACTCCTGCTGGTTTTCAGCCGCAGCTTAGTTCACGAGTTTCAGAGCAGCAAACTGTTTGAGGAAGGCGGGAAAGCTGCTCAGTGTCATATTTCACTATGCAGCGTCTGTGTGATGTCAGCGCGCAGGTCGAACTTCCTGTCTCTTCTTAAAGTAACACAAATATGTAAGCAGAGATGAAGCAGAGTTATAAGATAAGATAAGATAGAACTTTATTAATCCCTCGCGTGGTTCCTCTGGGAAATTCGGTTTCCAAAAGCACAGCACCGACAGAAGTTACAGTTACAGAATGTTATATATATACATACATACACATACATACACATATATATATAAATACAGAGACAAATAAAAATAAAAATAAAATATACGAAGGGGATAAATAGAATAAATAGGAATAAAAAATAAAAAAATATTCATAAATAAGAGAGAACTCTTTATTGTCATTTTACAGTCGTACCCAGTACAATGAAATTAGAAACTGCACAATGTGGGACACCCCCAAAACCACAGAGGTGTTTGAGCTCTGTTGGAGGTCTGTGTCTACCCAGGGACATGGAACTGGACACCCTTTCCACACACTCTGGGCTGCAGCTCAGACTTCCTCCTTCTGAAGTTCTTTTGTCTTGGTGGTATTGAAGTCCAGGTTGTTGTTGCACACAAATCTGGCAGCCTCTGAACCTCGGCTCTGTACGCCGTCTCATCTCCCCCAGAGATGAGCCCCACCACAGTGGTATCATCTGCAAAATTGTACATGTGTGTACAGTGTACAGTCGGGGACTCAGTACACAGTCTTGTGGAGAGCCGATGTTAAAGCCTGAGGGCTGAGGAAAGATGAGGTCCCACTTTAACTCTCTGTACACGGTCTGACAGTCTGTTGTCATGGCTGTTACCATAACAACAGTAAACTCACGGGGTATGTAGACAGGTCTGCACTTTACAGTCAAATATTCCAAATCCGGAGCTTCCTACAGTCTTTGTGTTTTTGCACCAGCTGTCACTGATGTGCAGGGTGGGCCATTTATATGGATACAGCGTAATAACATGGGAATGGTTGGTGATATTAAAGTCCTGTTTGTGGCACATTAGTATATGTGAGGGGGCAAACGCCTCAAGATGGGCGGTGACCATGGTGGCCATTTAGAAGTCGGCCATCTTGGATACAACTTTTGTTTTTTCAATGGAAGAGGGTCATGTGACACATCAGACTTATTGGTAATGTCACAAGAACAACAATGGTGTGCTTGGTTTCAACGTAACTTTATTCTTTCATGAGTTATTTACAAGTTTCTCTTTGTTCACAGCCATTGACATGTTGAAGAGGTTAACACGTGAGGAGTGAAATCGTGTTGATATCTGGTGAACGCAGTAACCGGGTCATTGCAGCAGATTTCAATGTAAGACACCCTACGAGACCACCCATCTCCCATGCTACAGTTAGCAAACTGCTTGCTAAGTTTGGTGAAACTGGTTCAGTGTTGGATTTGCCAAAAAGTGGAAGCAAGAAAATGTCTGTGAAGGTTCTCAGTCATCCAGGTCATCGTAGTCTAAGGAGCTTGCAAAGAAAAGCGTCTGGACTTCTTTAAGTTACTTGAAGACGTTTCACCTCTCATCCGAGAAGCTTCTTCAGTTCTAAGGTCAAATGGTGGAGAGTCCCAGATATAAACCAGAAGGAGTTTCCCCCCACAGAGGGACAAAAGGACCCCCTGATGATCCTCTACCTAATCACATGAGCCAAGGTGGGAAAAAACCCGAAACCCTGGCTGATTGAAAGAACTCTGTGAAAACAGGTGTGGGTCACAAACTCTGTGATCAAGGCATTCCTTTGTCCCCCTCCCCAGCCTCTCGAGGTTCTGGGGGGAGGCTGTAGTATTTTATCACAGGCACATCCCTTGTGAAGGTTTGTTTGATATTTGGTAAGCTTCCTGCCCTTTTTATGGTTTCACTGTGTTGTGTATGGTGAACCAATACAGGAATTGAACCATATATTGGGTGTGGGGGAGATTACCCCCTTTATGACCAAGGATGTTGTTAGAAACAGTTGTGATCAGGAGGTCACACAAACGCACCCCCATGACACACACACACACATTCTCACATACACACACGCACAAGTTCTTGCACATGCTTTTACACACACACACACACACACACACACACACACACACACACACACACACACTACCTTGTCTTTGTAACCAAGGGGGGTTTTACGAGGGGAGGTTACTATTGTAACTGTTTTTTCCAATAAAAGGCAGCAAGCAGAGCCCACAGCGTAGCACTCGCCGCATGTCACTGGAGAGTGGCATTAGTTGAACATCCCTTTGGTGAATATTAGCTACTCACATTTGGCACCCTTACAAACTCCAGCTACTGCAGCATCTCAGCGAGGATGACCCAGATCGGCCACAGAATTTGCAGAATGAGCAAAACAAAAATTGGAACAGGACCCTCAGTTCACGCAGAAGATTTTGTTCAGTGATGAGGCAAACTTTTATGTGAATGGTGAAGTTAACAAACAAAACCACCGCTATTGGTCTGACACATACCCACATTGGATGGATCCCTCCAAGACTGTTGGAACAACAAAAGTGATGGTTTGGTGTGGTATATGGGGCACAACGATAGTGGGTCCATTCTTCATCAATGGAAACCTCAAGGCCACTGGATATTTGAAATTGCTACGTGATGATGTGTTTCCCTCTTTGTACACTGAAGCTGGCACGTTCCCTGAGTTTTTCCAGCTGATGGTGCACCACCACATTATGGGTGCAGGTCCGAGCATTCCTAGATGAACAGTTTCCTGGAAAGTGGATTGGTCGTCGTGGGCCAGTTGAATGGCCCCAAGGTCTCCCGATCTGACCCCCTTAGACTTTTATCTTTGGGGTCATCTGAAGGCAATTGTCTATGGTGTGAAGATACGAGATGTGCAGCACCTGAAACTACGGATACTGGATGCCTGTGCTGGCATTTCTCCTGCGGTGTTGCTATTAGTGTGTGAAGAGTGGGAGAAGAGGGTTGCATTGACAATCCAACACAACGGGCAGCACATTGAACACATTTTATAAGTGGTCAGAAACTTGTAAATAACTCATGAAAGAATAAAGTTACGTTGAAACCAAGCACACCATTGTTTTTCTTGTGACATTACCAATAAGTTTGATGTGTCACATGACCCTCTTCCTGTTGAAAAAACAAAAGTTGTATCCAAGATGGCCGACTTCTAAATGGCCACCATGGTCACTGCCCATCTTGAGGGTTTGCCCCTCACATATACTAATGTGCCACAAACAGGACTTTAGTATCACCAACCATTCCCATGTTATTACGCTGTATCCATATAAGTGGCCCACCCTGTAGGTTGAATATTTCTTTGACGGCTTCACTCTCCTCTAGTTTTGCTCCTTTACTGTTTGTCCCAGTTTACGTTATAACTGCATCTTTGTATTTTGAATATTGTCTTTTTTAGTGTTTGCTTCCTGACTAATCTCAAAACAACTAAAGGAGGAAGCTTAACACACAGCAAGACTGAGATAAAGGATGGTAATGATATTTCATGGTGGAAAAGCCACGGTGGGCCGGCACCATGAGGAGACTCCATGGAAGCAGAGAGCTGGGAAAGAGTCACACAACAGAGCTGAGCTCACTGCCTCTGAGCCCCACGAGTGCTCGCCCTGCTTTCTGTCTGCACGAGGATCTGTGTCACTTTACTGCTGACTGTTGCTTTTCCTGTGACAGGAAATCAGACACAGGAGGATTTTGTAAACAGATTTACAGAACAAACAGTTAAATCAGAGCCTTTTTTATTCCAACATAAACATTCCACCATCCTCAACATCAGAGCCATTAGTTATGATTATGAGAATCTACTGCATTACAGCACTGACAACATGAATATAAACGTACAGTTCTTACACACAGGAAAAAAGATGACAAGAAAAATCAGAATAACCAGTTAGGAAAGAAGAAAGAAACAGCACACATTTCATGATTCGGAATATAAAACTGATTCAAGAGAGATTTACATTTTTTATTGAAACTCAAATTACTCAATTTCAAAGTCATGATCCAGTCAGACTCAGCTGCAGCCTGAACACTGGAACTCATCTTTACTTCTCCTTCGCTTCAATCTTCATGATCTTGTTTCCCTTTATTTCTACATCTGCTGAGAACGGCATTTTCTCCAGCAGTCTGTCCTCAAAGTCGCCCTCCAGTCTGACACCAAACGCTTTTGCCAGCAGGGATGAAGTCACCACAAAGGACTGCACCTCTCCGCTGCCGATCTGTGCATCCACCTCTGTTTCAGTCTTCTTGGTGTCTTTGATCCCAATGATCTCGATTGTGACGTTCTCGACTGTGGCACTTTGAACCTGCAAAACACCAGATTGACCGTAGAGATCAGGACATGTTGAACCAATAAAACTGAAGAACTTGTTATTTAAAAAAGTGAGCAATGATGATTTCATAGTGAGTCTCATCCTGCAGAAGAACTCCAAATCCACCATCTTGTCCTGCAGCAGACAGTCCTGGTTCTGCTCAGGTAACAGCACATGAACATGTTCTGGAGTCACCCTCCAGCTCACAGAGCAGAGCAAAGACTGATGTCACCAGCTGGAGTCCAAGATGGTGGAGATGAGTCTGTCAGACCACAGGGAGACCCTCACAGTGAACCACCTGATGGGGACACTTAGAACAGGTACGGCTGGATTAACTAGAGAGCAGAGACTCAACAACAGTGAGGAAATGTTCCAGTAGGAGGTCAAAGCTGACAGTCTCTGCTTTGAATCAATACCAAATATAAAACACATTTCAAACTGAAGCCAGAATCAGAAATTACCTTAAAAATTCTGGTGAGATCTGTTGAGTTCAGCGATACTGAATCCCAGAAGTGATTGGTCTTTACTTTGGTCACCCTGGCAATGTCTCCACATGATCTCCAAAAGTTGCTTCTGTTCATCTGGACGTAGCGTTTTGTGGGAGAAACGTTTCGTCATCATCAGGTGACGTCTTCAGTCTCAGCTGACTGCAGGTTTCAATCTTAGAAACAGGACATTTGCATAATGACTGAAACCAGCCCACTGAAGCAACAATGGGCTGGGAGGTCAGTTCCTTAATCATAATTATGCAAATTCTCATGACCATTGATCAACAACCACTGATTAATGGCCATGAGTCCCATTCACAGAGAGCTGGGGAATAGCTGCAATCACAGCATTGTAAGATGGTGACAGATGTACCCTTAGGCCCTCCTCCATTCAGAGATGGTCTTTCCCTTTTCACGTAAATGGCCTCCTTGACTCCGCCCTCAAACCAGCGTTCCTCCCTGTCCAGGATGTTACATCCTCATCATTGAAAGAGTGTCCACTGGCCTGTAGGTGTGAATAGACCGCAGAGTCCTGGCCTGATGAGGTGGCTCTTCTGTGTTGTGCCATCCTCTTAGCCAGAGGTTTTTTGGTTTCCCCGATTATAAATCCTGGCAATCCTCCTGCACTTAACAGCGTACACTCTGTTACTCTGTTTGTGTCGGGGACCTGATCCTTGGAGTGGACCAATTTTTGGTGCAGCGTGTTTTGGGGTTTAAAAGCAACAGAGACCTGGTGTTTAGAGAAAATGCGTCTCAGCTGCTCTGATACTCCTGACACGTACGGGATCACTACAGGTTTTCTCTTAGGCAGCGGTTGTCCTTCTCTCCTGGGTCGGCTGGAGCTTTCTTTAGGCGCCTTCCCGCCTTTGACTAAAGTCCGGCTGGGATAACCACATTTACTCAGGGCCTTCTTGATGTTCCTCTGCCTCCCTGGCCGCTGTGTCAGTGGGGATGGTGTTCGCTCTGTGTTGTAGCGTCCTGATGACGCCCAGTTTGTGGATGATGAGAGTCAAACCTTAGATACTGATCTGTTTGTGTAGGTTTACGGTACACGTCAGCTTTTAGATGTCCCCCATTACTGATGGAAATCTCACAGTCTAAGAAGGCTAACCTGCCACTTTTCATATCCTCCCTGGTGAATTTGATGTGTCGGTCCACTGAGTTAATGTGATCCGTGAAACGTCCTGAAATTTGATTTTCACGCAGGTGTCATCCACATGTCTGAACCAATGACTTGGTGGTGTTCCAGGGTAGGATAGCAAAGCCCTCTTTTCCACTTCTTCCATGTACAAATTTGGCCACAGTGGTGAAACTGGGGAACCCATGGCATACCCATGTTTCTGCCTGTAGTACTGACCCTTGTATGTGAAGTAGGTGGAATGAAGACACAGCTCCAAAAGCAAACACACCTAGTCGATGCTGAGAGCGGTCCTGTTGCTGAGCTTGGGGTCATCCTGTAATCTCTTACGGACTACCTCCAACGCTTCCGTGACTGGGATGCAGGTGAAGAGAGATGTAACGTTGTACGAGACCATGGTTTCATCTCCCTCCATAATGACATCTCTCACCTTTTCAACAAAATCCAAAGACCATCTCTGGATCGAGGAGGGGCCTAAGGGTACATCTTTCACCATCTTAAAATGCTGTGATTGCAGCCATTCCCCAACTCTCTGTGAATGGGACTCATGGACATTAATCAGTGGTTGTTGATCAATGGTCATGAGAATTTGCATAATTAAGATTAAGGAACTGCCCTCCCAGCCCATTGTTCCTTCAGTGGGCTGGTTTCAGTCATTATGCAAATGTCCTGTTTATAAGATTGAAAAATGCAGTCAGCTGAGACTGAAGACGTCACCTGATGATGACGAAACGTTTCTCCCACAAAACGCTACGTCCAGATGAACAGAATCAACTTTTGGAGATCATGTGGAGACATTGCCAGGGTGACCAAAGTAAAGACCAATCACTTCTGGGATTCAGTATCGCTGAACTCAACAGATTCTACCAAAATCCAAAAGGTAGCTGCTGATTTTAATCTGGGCAGCGTATGACACACAGCGCAATAACACATTGATAACTCTCTCAGCTCTGTATAACACTGCTTAACCCCCCACGCTCTTATTCTGAAAGTTTATTTTCTCCTAACCAGCAGGTCATTAGAGACTTGCTGAAGGCAGCCAGTCATATTTCTCTGCCATTTACTTAAAAGCAGCACTCAGGAAGAATCTGGTCCTGGTCTTTATCACAGTTTGAGGTTTTTTTGAACCAGTCATGCGTCGTGAGCTCTCTGTGGTTCTAAATGTCGGGCTACCTGTCGACCTGTTTAGCTTTTTAGCTGTTTATGAGATTCTCAGCCTGTCCTGATATTTGTGTGCAGATTCAGAGTGCTGCAGTCCAGAGCTTCACCATCAAGATTATCGGGATCATAAGAGCCAGCGCGACGCAGACTGAGCTGGAGGCGGAGCTCAGCCATACAAATAAGGTGCAGCAGTTTGAGGTGGTTTCGTCCCTGCTGGCAGGAGCGTTGGGTGTCAGCCTGGGGAGGCTTTGAGGACAGGCTGCTAGATAAAATGTCCTTTCTCAGCAGATTTGGCAATCAAAGAAAACAAGATCATGAAAATGAAATCCATCAGATAGAAGCAAAGATGGCGTCCACTGTTCAGGCTGGGCTGCAGCCACATGATTCATCTATTTTTACAAAAGTTGTTTTTTAACTGAATATTTTTAATATGATTCCTTAAATCTGTCATTTAACGTAGAGGACATTTCTGATTATATGATGTCAGTTATTCTTTCTTTCTGTGTGTAACCAACTTTAAGGTATAAAGGTGAATTACAGTGCAATAATTACTCGGGCTCGTAATAAGACCCTGGCCAGAATCAGAAGACACCAAATTCGTGTGGAGCCAAAGTATTGAGCAGCAATAATGACCTGGACACAAGGTTAACTTTTGAGTAGCCACTCTTGTATTGTTACAAAGTATAACAGGTATTTGTCAAATTTGTACAGATAAAGTATAAAATAAAATAAATAGTGTGCACACTCAAACAAAATAAAAGTACTCGTTGGGGCCCTTTAAGAATTTAGAGTTAAGCTGGCGATAGCCAACTTCAAAGGTCCTTGTGAGTGTAACTGGAATGTATGAGTGTGTGGGTGTGTATCTTCTTTGGGGTAGATCGTCCTCAAAGTGGTTGGCTCACCATCTATCACGACCGGAATATCGTCCTGGTCCTTGGACTTTTCCGTCCTCTCCAAAAAACCTGACCTATAATCCAGGTCATAAAATGTATATTCTAATCAGTCTGTTCCAGATGCATTATTTAAGGTTAAAATGTAAAATCAAAATATTGCATCAACCTCATATTCATTGCATCAACATTTTAAATCTTATCATATCTCACAGTTATGTTGTACAACATTCAATTTTTAAGCATATCAAATATGAGAACTAAACATCTAAGTTGCTCAAATATTTCTCTATTCATGTAAACATTAATTAAACAATACTTATGGTAAGTAACCATCGACACTCAAAATACAATACACCATAACAAATTCAGAACTATGTGCAAATAAGCAACAAAATATACATGCGAGTTCAGTTCAGAGGCATTAAAGCAGTGTGCTTAATTTCTCCACACTATAGGCCTATTCGTGAGAGAGAAATGCACTAAAAATTACCCTCTAGATTACTTTAAACTCACAGTGAACTGACAAAATTTAGCTTTAGAGCAGCTAAGAACATGTTGCTCACCGTTGCTCTGTTTCACAAAAGCCCAACACACACTGGCGTTGGAATTGCAGCAGCTCTCCGGATGAAAGGTGAGTGGTTAGCCTGTGAGACACCGAGCTAGCATTAGCATGATCGCGACGGTAAGTCTCTACAAGTTTTTTCCATCAGAATAACACTCGTCTTACCGACGTTGCCTCTCTGCTTCATCCAGCCACTCGACTCCGGACTTCCAGCAGGTAAGTAGGCTGGCTTTCCTTCCTCTCAATCCTGAGTTTTTCCTCTCTTTTGTCCGTGGATTTCTCGGTTTGAGTAGCAGATGCCTCCACTCCTCTTGCTGAGATGAGAAAACCCGGGAGCACCATGCACCTTCACCTCACTTCCTGGCTGACAGGGTCAATGCGGCCTGGGTAGGCTCTGATTGGTCGCTGATTGGTCGCTGAGCGAGGTGCATTCAATGGTAATAGGAAATATGATGTTTTGTTGATGTGGACAGTTAATATAAAGAGAATAAATATGATTTTTTTTCATCTGGGCTACATGTGTTTCTTGCAAATGATTTTTTTGGCTTATTTTCTGGTTTGAGCAGAATATTCATAATCATCATCAGTCCTGGAAGCTCAGGGATTCCTGTGACTACATCACCTGGTGTTGGGAACGTATCCATTGGAATAAAAAGTCAAATCTGCCTCCAGAGAAGCAGCTGAGAGCATGGAGAGGACCAGTCATTATATGAAACTTAAATGTATCAAGGTACTTCATGGCTGACAGTTTATGCAGTGTAAATATTTCAGTACTATGGTACTTTATGTATTTTGGCTAAAAATATTTGGTTCTTTACTTCTTATGATTTTGAAGACTTTAAATTAAATCTTAGCGATATTATCACTAGAATAACACAGATGAAGCTACTCGGGAGCATACAAATCATTAAAATCATATTTTTAATACAAATTCTTACACAGCTGTTATGCATCCATATGAAGGCATCTACTTCAGCCTGAAAATCAAAGCCACTCTTTCTTTAATGCATTTTTTCTGATTAAATGTTCTGATTTTGTCTGATTGCAACTTGTTGTCAGATTTATTATCGTTGGAAAGTGTACACTTAACCTCCTAAGACCCGAACTCTTTCATGGCATGCACTTTTAATTTCTCTTTGCTTTTTGGATTGACTGGGACCTGATGAATGTAAAAACAAAGAACCAGATTACCAGATTTTCTTTACCTGATTTTTGTTTCTGATAAAAACGAGGTCCACATATGAACCATTCATTTTAAATTTCGATAGAACAGTAGCTGTATAATGTCCTCGTAAGTGGATATCAGGCCCTTGTATAGGAAGATTTAGTATTTTGGTCT